AATCAGTAGGGCAACCGGCCTTCTCTCCCACACTCCAGTCTCCACCACAGATAATGCCCCACCCCCAAATGCTTACACATAACTGATAGGAAACACATCTGTGGCTAGGTAGAACACCCTGGGTAATGAAGGGACTGCAACCCATCTTTGCTGAGCAAAGCAATATCCCTTTTTAATAGCTCAGTCCAGGGTCCTCCCACGCCCCTCCAAAAGGAAACTTCCAATCTCCAATTTCAATTCCCCCAAGCCCAAATCTTTGTCCTCTTGTATTATACTTTTCTAATCTCTCTTAGGCATTTATTCTGTCTCCTCTGGCTACTTTTCTGTGCCTCCTCCCCCAGATACCAGCACATTTTTCACAAATAAGCAGCTCTCCTATCCCCGATGTAAACCTAGATTTTTTCCCCCTCACCTATTGCATTCTTTCAATAACTCTCTTCACCTCTCTTCACGTTTTTAAAAAACTCTCACGTTAACTAGTGTACTATGTAATGTGTATATTTTCCCTTCCAGCTCAGGGGAACATATAAATTAAATAACCGTCTCCCATACTAGGTTTCTTTAGGTATTCTTGGAGAAAATGCACAATATAGGCAATGTAGTCTCAAAAAAAAAAAAAAAAAAAAAAAAGGTGGGGGTGTTGGGGGGATTAAGAAAAGAGAAAGGAAAAAGGGAGAAAAGGGGAAAGATGCAAACACCTAGAGCAACTTTGCTTTTGAAAAAGGCATTTGTGCACGGCCCCCACTGAATTTCCATCCCTGAAAGTGCTCTTTATAAATGTATATAACAATAGCCTAGAGGAAACGTACAAGTCAGCTGCCAAAGGAGTGGTGTCTGTCTCAGTAAACTCAGATTGCAGAGGTGGGGGTCAGTGGAGAAGGGAGGGCAGCATTTGCGTTGGGATACCCCCCCAATCTCATTGCTTATAATTAGTGAGAGAAATTTGAGCTACTGCCAATGTCTGCGGACCTTGAATATTATAAGGCCAACGTGGCGTCAAATATCTTAACATTCATAAGTGTTATGGGCCGTAAATAAAGCCTGTGGATTTATGACCTGGTGGTACGCTTGCCAGCAAAAGACTGGGGCACATTTCTTTCAGCAGACCTGTCGAGGTGCAAGTTTGCCTTTGGTTGTAAAATTAACCATTTCCTTCACAAATGTGCTCAATTATAAGTCAGAGTTGAAGATTGACTTACATGGTTGCCAATATTCACTCCCAAAAGAAACTCAGATGCCCACATCACACACACACACACCTTCGAAAAAAGACCCTCAAGAATTTGGTTCAGCCTCCTTTTCTCAACTTTGAAATGTGTCACCTCAAAAGAATTATAAATGCGGTCAAAGATATTATCTAATACTACTCAGCAAGACTAAAAAGCTTACACCTACTTCCCTGGAAAGTGCTTATTTTTTATTTGGCAACTCCATCGTTTAAAACAAACAAACAAAAAAGAGTAAATCACTCCTTGCCTGAAATTTCCCTTCCCCCAACATAATGTCATCTACTTCCTGTGCAGGAGAGAGCATTTGCTAAATCCAGGTTGTCTCGTACTTAACTGCCAATAAACCAACTTCCACATAACTTCCAGACAGCTGGGGGAAAGGTCCTCAGAGTTTTAGTCATGGTCCAGAAACACGCGTCCACACAAAAATGTGCAGCTGTCCTTTCTCTACAGTGCATTGTTAATGTAATTCGGGGGAGTCTGTTGTGAAACATCTGACAAAATGTAAAATCCTCTTAGATACCTTCTAGTTTACCCACTGCACGTGTGTAAGAGAAGTTGCACCAGGATTTCTCCACCGAGAAATCTAGGCACTTTCTGCACACAGCCAGGGGCACCTCATGGGATGTAAGGAGGCATTCAAAACCTGGAAAGACTTCTACTGTAATCTTTAAAAGCACAGCCTTTGGTGCAACTATTAAAATGCTAGTTTTCTAAAGCAAATATATTTTTTTTAATGCCTTGCAGAACTGCAGCGATCCAGCACTGCAAACAGAACAGCATTCTTGATCTGCAAAGCCCCCGGAAACCTTCCGGTAACTTTTTCACAGCTTGCTAAGAAACAGAAAGCTGACCAACTTCCAGCAGTGACTCTAAATGAAATCCCTATCAGTAAAATTAAAATCAAGGTGAAAACAACTCCTAGCAAGAACGAGGATTGTTTTCCTCATTCCTCCTCAAGCAGACACGGAGGGCATCAGTCAAAGCTCCTTCCCTGAAACAGTCAAAGTTTCCAAAAACACATCTTCCAGATAAGCCCATTCGTTAGGCTCTCAAATGCCTGAGTTTGTTTCTGGGGTTTCAGAAAGTTTCAATATCAACAAAGTGGAAAGCGCTGGCATATTTAATTTATAATCATTACAATATGACTTATTGGGTGAATGTTGAGCCTATAATCCATACTGCAGACATTAAACCCTAACCTATAAAGATTAGCATGGAATTAGTATGGTTGCTTTGAGATTGAAATCTAAACATGTTCGCCATAAATATTTCTGAAGGAGATGAAAAACAATTAGCATAAATACCAAAGAAGGGCAAGAACACCTGTTCTTTTTCAGGGCGATAAGCATTTTATTGTTCTCTATTTAAAATGTAATGACCTGTGTAATTACAGTAATATTACATTGTTATGTAGGGGCTTGGAATGTCACACTTTGAAAAGTGTTGTCAAAACAATCAGGGGTGAGGTGGGGGGGTGGGAGGACAACTGGGAAGGACCACCATTAACCCTTCACACTCCGAGGTCTACATCTTTTGTATTAGAAAGGGTTATGTTGTTTCAGTGAGGAGAAAACATCCATTTTTCACAAACCAAAAAGAGAAATTGCCCGGCTAAATAAAACCCCAATGAATAGGCCCCTCTCAGTTTCCTTTAAATGCTGGATTCCAAGTTCAAAAATGAATTCAAGATGCAGCTTATTTATCTGTTCAACCTAGTAGCAAACAGCTCAGCTGAAAAGCAAATAACTTTGGATAAGAGAAGATGCAAGGACTCGAATAATCAAGTCCTTAAAAAGAAATTTCAAACCGAACTGGAATTTCAACCACCGTATTCCTCTTTCCCCTTTGCCAGGACGGAAAAAGAAATATAAAACTACTTTTTCCAATCAACTTTAATAGGTTACAGTAGTCTTATCTTTAGTATACAAATGTTACCACAATTCTAATATTTGCAGTTCTAACACTTCCCATCTACTTAACTAGACCTCTCCTTAATGCACTTTTGCATCTGAATCTGTCTTTTTAAAAGCCATTCCTATTACTGTATCAAAGACTAAATTAATATTATGCAGAAATCTTTGTCGTTTTAAAATAAAATTATTACTATCAAGCTTTATGGCATCTTCAGCAATTAAAGCATTATTCTTGAGATAATGTATTATTCATCATAAGCCGATTTAATGATACTCTCTAATTCTTTACATTCTTAAATTAAAAAGCAGAAATCAGGGTTCCAGAGAGTTTGCTTTTAAAGATGCAGCTGCTTACAGGTACATCATAAGTAACAGAAAATGTAGCAAAAATCACCATGACCAAGGAGCAAAGGGAAAAGAATAAAGCATACAACGAATTTGTCTTCACACCTTGCCATTAAAAACACACCCTGTAAAGCACTAAGAATTTCAGAAGAGCATGGGAAGCCCGCTATCTTGCTACATAGATGCCTCCATTCCTCCCGCAGCTGTATCAAATCTGGAATTGCAAGCTGGCCCTCTGATTGAAGACGTCAGGAGTGACACACAACAGCCTACCGTCCTTATTTCCACTGCTCTGCTGACCAGCCTAAATAAATAACTTTAATTTTGGAGCACATAATCTAGCCCAGGTAACAGAGAGGAAGGAAGAAGGGGCAGTGTACACAAAGATGTCTGCTGGTGTTTGACATGTAAATACTAAAACTGCCTACTGAGTTCAGAAATGTCTTCTCAGACTCAAGCTGATGTCACAGCACCAGGCCACCCGCTATGTCCACAATTAAAATAACTAGACGCCGTCTATTCCTATAATGCCCACAAAAGGGACCGATCATTGGGAGCCTTCCTTTTCTCACCGGGAAATCATTTACTTGCCTTTAACAATTTCCCTGTTTGCTAATTACAGCACAACACAACTGCTCAAGTTTGAGAAGGGATGGCAAGATTGCCAGCATCAGACAGGGAGTTTAAAAGGAGTCAAGAAAGCTGGCAAGCCAGCCATCAAAGCTCAATATTCAGATAGCTAAGTGGATTTTAAAATAATACCAGGGAGGTTTCCATCGGAAGGGGGAGGGGAGGAGAGGCAGAAATTCTCTGGAATTCTTTGGAATGTTGCTTGGTCCGGTTTATTGGTAGGCGAATACTGCGATTCTGAGCCCAACGGTCCCGTTTAAGATGCCACACGAGCTCCCAAGAAAAATACAAAGTAAGCGGGCTGTGCTTCCCCTACAGCTGCAAGCCCAGAGCGCGGCCCCTGCAGCCTGGTGGAGCTGGCCTTGCAGGAGGGGGTCGGGCCGAACCGCTCTCCCAGCTTCCCAAGCACGCCTGGGCGCTGTGCAGGGGGGGAATAATTATTTCTCTTCCCTAGCCATAAAAAATGACCGGTCTAGTATGCCCTTGCCATTTTGCCAGGGCCCAAAAAAACAAGTCAAACCTGATAGTTAATATTTTAATGCTTAAAAACACTTGTAGATCTGATCGACTCCCGTCCGGCAAGCCCTCGGCCATTAGCACCGAATCCACGGCTGCTGAACAGTGGGTGCGTTATTTCAAATTGCTATCTAGAGTTACCGAAAAAGAAAAAACAAAAGTCGTGTGTGTAAATAAGGGGTATGGGGACCAAACCGGAGAAGGTGTAAAATGACAATCCCGGGAAGCCGGGCACAAACGCGTCTTGCGTCCAGAGATTCGTAATCCAGGCTTCTTAGAAGAGGGAGGGAGGGATGAGGAGGAGGGGGTTCAGGGTGAGGGCAGGGGGCAGAGGCCGGTGGGGGAGGGGATGAGCCGTCTTAACAAATGTCAGGGTTGGGGCGCGGGACGGACGCTGCAGGAAGCGCCCCCGGAGCCCGGCACCCCGCGCTGCCCTGGGGCCCCCAAAGTTGGCTGGCCGGCGATTGGCGACCCACTCCCTGGAAGGCGAGGCGCCCCGCCTCCCTCGGCCCCTGAACCTCCTTGAGCCCAAACGCCCTGGTCTCTGGCCCCCCCAGGGCCCACGAAGGGCCTACACGGAAGCTGGCGAGCGCAGACCCCGCCATACAACCCAAGGCGCCAAAATTCCTTAGAAATACACAAGTCTGCTCCGAGGAGGCCATCCGGCTGCACACAAACCCAGAACCCGGGCTGCAGGGGCCTCCCCGCCCCGCTCTGCCCCGCTGCCCCGCGCGGCCCAGGAGAGCCCTCAGCCAGCGCACCAGGCAGCCGAGCCCGCCACGGCGCCCAGGGCGCTCGCGGCCCTGCGGGTTGCCAAAGAAAAGGGCTCCTCAGAGCCCCCAAGTTTGCGGTGGGACCAATCTGGGAAGTGTGACCTTCCAGTGGAAGGAGGAAGGAGGGCCGAGAGCCCGCGATCGACACTAGAAAGCTAAATACACAGCCGCCCGTTAAGAGAAAGCCAAGACGCCTCTCCAGGGCCCCCGGCTCTGCGCGCTCGCCAGTTCTCAAGTCCAACGCCTGGAGGAAACCCACTCTCTACCCCGCGCGTCGGGCGCAGCACAGTCACTCGGGGCCCGCAGCGGCAGCCAAGGGGTTAACCGGGGAAAGCCCAAGACGCCACAGAAGAGGGAAGGAAGAGAAGGAGAGAGAGGGAGAGAGAGCAAAGAAAGAGCCACACAGTCATCTTCCCAGGGTGAAGAAACAACCACCGCCACCAAAGGGGGAGGGGGAACCAGAGCGCAAAAGAAAAGTTCTTCGGACCCCCCCCACAACAAAGCCCTGCTTGGACAGAGAGGTCTCCCCAACATCACGAGGCAGCAAACTGAAAGCAAGAACGTGGCGAAGTGCAAACAAATCCAGTCCACAAAAGGCAGAAAAGTTTGGAGAGTTTCGGGCCGCCTGGGCCACGAGCGGGGGAGGGGAGGGAGGAAGGAGAGGAGGCGGGGAGGGGGAGGCGGGGAGGGGGCAGGGCAGGGGCCGCATGCAGGGCCCGGCGGGCGGCGCGGGCGGGCGGGCAGCGGGCGGGGGGCCGGGCGCGGAGGCACTTACGGTTCGGGCGGTGGGCGAGAGCGATCCGTTGGGGAGGTAGGGGCTCGTCAGGTCGGGGATCATGATGAAGGGGTAGCCGGGATACGGTGGCCCCTTAAAGAGCCCTCCATCTTGCCTCTTGGCCGCTAACATGGCGGGGCGGCGAGGGGACGGCGGCGGCCGCGCGGAGCGGGAGAGAGCGAGGAGAAACTTTTTAGAAAGTGCCCCGAGGGGCCGGGCGCCCCGGTCGGGCCGGCGCGGGGCCGGGCCGAGCGGGGCGCGGGGCCGGGGCGCGCGGGAAGGGCGGCCGGCCCGGGGGGCGGCTGCGGGGCGCGCGGGGCGTACTCACCTTCTTCCAAACTTTCCCGGGATTTATCTCGGAAACTTTCGGAGCGAGGCGGAGGCCGTCTTTCCGCCTTCCCAGAGGGGTGGAGGTGGGGAGGGCGAGGGGCAAACGCCACGCAGAGCGGGGAGAAGGGGGAGAAAAAGAATCGGCGAGGTCGGGGTGGGGGGGTAGAAAAAACAGGGTTACAAGTTTTTGCAATGGTGGCACCGCACGCACACGCCGCCCGCCGGGCCCCGCCGCCGCCCCCAGCCCCGATTTCTCCCCTTTCAGCAACATTTGCCAAGCCCAGGAAACAGATAAAAAAAACCCCACCAGCCCGAGGGGCTTTTCCTACCTCGGAATCGGAGGAGCTGTTTTGATTCGTTTCTGATTCATTGACTAGAGACGATTTGACATCAGCTAAATCCCTCTCTGCCGAGGAGTTTTCGGAGCTCTTCTCCTCCTGTTCGCCCTCGTCTTTGAAGGAAATCAGTTCGTCGTTGGCGCCTAGGTCATCCCCTCCACCGCCGTTCAGCTGCGGCATTTTTTTTCACCCACCAGCAGCAATTTTGGAAGAAAAATGAAGGAGGAAGAAAACCAAAAAAAATCACCCCCAAAAAGTTTTGCCCCCCCGAAAAAAAATTGCAAGAAAAAGACGAGTCCAAGGTGAACTTTTTTTTCTGCTTGGGGGTCTTTTTCTCCTGGGGAGGGGAAAAGAGGGAGGAGGGGAGGGGAGGGGGGGGAGATCTTCTGCACGCGTGAGTTTGGGTTTCTTTTTTCTCTCGTTCCCAAGGATCCGATCAATGTGCAAAAAAATAATAAATAAAAAAAGGGGGTTAAAAAAAAAAACACCAACAACAACAAGAAGTCAGATATAAAGAGCAAAGGGGGGGGAAGCCGAAGATACAGGAGGTGCTCGTGCCGCTCGGATTTGAGTGAGTTGAAGTTAGACTGAGAGCTTTTCAGTTCAAAGGCGGCGCTGATTGACAGATAGAAAAAGGGGGATCGAAATCCGGAGGAACGGAGTAGTCTGGGAGCGGAGATTATTGACAGGGCGAGAGGAACACACTGCCTTAATGAGATGCCGGAGGGCGGGGCCGGCCCGGTGACGTGTGCATAAATAAACAGCCCGGGTGGGCGGGGCGGGGGCGGCTAACAATGATCCTTTCGGGCGCCGGGAGAGGGAGGAGGGAAAGGAGGAGGAGAGGGGCGGGGAAGCAGGGGGGAGACGGAGGGAGGAGTGTGCAGGGGGAGCGGCCTGCGCGGAGTGTGTGTGAGCCCGGGATTCTGGGCGAGGGTGCAGGGACTCGCTCCGGGAGGGGGCGGTTTCAGAAAGACAATGCGGGGTGGGAGAGGAGGAGAAGGGGGTGGCGACCAAGTCAGGAATCCGAGCCGAGGAAGGCGGAAGGAAAGCCCACTTGGGGGGCGGGGATGGGGAGAGGCCCAGAAAAAGTGCACTTTAGAAATATTAGAAATAAGTCTTAAGAGAAGGGAAAAGGAAGGGTAGAATTGTGAGAAAGTGGTGGCTGGGGGCGGGGTTTGCGCGGGGGGGGGGTGCTTGGTGGTTAATTCAGCAGAAGAATCAGCCACCCTTGGGCGGCATGCGACAGAGGTGGTCAAAACGAAAAATCAACCCGCCACTTTCAGAGAGCTTGGAGAAGTGAAGGAGCTGGTCAAAGTTCCTGGTCATCTACAATGAAAGAAACTATTAACCCATGAGGCCTCCCTCCTTCTTTTTTTGTTTATTAGTACAGTAGTGAATCACTTCATGAAATGTTAAGTCCCACTAGGATAAATATGCCAAAATGACTTTTTATCCAAAAAACAAATACTAAATGTCAGAGACATTAAAAGTATCCTTAAGGAAAAAATATAGGATTATTTTACATGTAGAGTGGTATTTTAGTGGGTTGTTGTTTTTTTTTTTTAACTGACGTTGGAGCTGGTAGGATATGAGCTAGAGTCAAAGTCCTTTTCGACTTTGGAGGTGAAAAGTTTGGGCGTTAACACCGCCAGGGAAAAATAAAACTGAAAGTTCACCGGGCCCCTGGGATCAGTTGGGCTGCAGTTTTTTTTTCGAAGGGGATCTGAAATGAAATCCCCTAAAGACTGACCAAATAATCAAGACGTAGGTGGCTGTGGCAGGAAATTGCTAACCAAACCAATGCTGGGAGACCTCTGGGAGAAGATGGGAAACCTGGGGCTTGAGGCAGGTATTTGTTGACTTTTAGTTACTAGAGGAGGAGCAGACTGATTTGCTACAAAATGGGGAATGGGATTATGTTAAAAAGGAAAGTCCCGGCTCCCAAAACACAGTGTTGCTGGGTGATACAGCAAGAAGATTCATTTTTGTAGATATGTGGTAAGAGGTAGACTGGACACTACAACATGAGAAAGAAAAAAAGAAAAAAGAAATAAATCAGTAGGATTTAGCAAATTGCCTCTCAGGAGCCGTATTAATCTAGAGTCCAGAATGTAATCCCACCCTTTCCTGAAAAAGCTCACCTGCACTTCAGCTGGCCCATCAGCACCGAGATTTCCAAAAGAAAGCAAATTTGCCATGTAATATTTAGAGAGTTTGGGGTTTCAGCAAAACTGTTTTATAGGCTAAGGTCTCAGAAAGAAGACTACTAAAAATAATGATACCAAGATTGACAAGGCCAATGAATTCCCCTGCACTGGAAAAAATTCACAACCACATTTGCACACTAAAGAATAAGATGCAGGCAAAATAAAAATGGGTTGGGGGGGAGGCAGAGGAGAATCACTGTAACTCCCAACCTTAATATTAATCAGAATATCAGAAGTAGAGTGAGAAGGAGCCCGAAAAGAAGTAAAACAAATGTGTACATTTAATCAGACAGGATTGCATAGGATACAAAGCACAGGGCTAATTAGTCTCAGCAGGTAGGACTAACCTTCAGACTTCATAAATAAATAAGGCGGGAGCAGTGTCTAAGAGGGAGAGTGGAGACAGAAAGGGGATTATTTCAAGACACCAAGTAAAAATATGAAGAATGAAATGCTTCACTGTTAAATCCATGTACAAATGGATTTAACAGTTTCCTTTTTTAGGTCTTGTACTTGGTTGCCTTTAGATTTACACATTTAGCGAAATAACCATAGCTTTATACACTTGCTAATTGTCACCTGTATACTTGATGTGCCTGAGTCTGTCTATACGCAGCGTAGACTCCTAAGGCACATTTTAGGGGCTTATTTACTTAAACTGGAACACATTTATAGGAACTCAGTGTTACGGCAATTTCTTTGTCCTGTGTGGTAGTTTTTTGGCTTTTTTTTTTTTTTTTTTAAATCTAACTCTGCTCTGAATTAAGTTGGATAATGAGGTCTTCTATGTCCTTTATAGTACTACCTGTATAAGAAAATCTCATGAATATACCGAATTAAAATTTTAAAGACTGTTCTTATTGATTTTACTATACTGGCCTGCATCTTTATCATATGTAAATATCAAGGGCTTTCTTCCGATGATGAGTAACTTTACCCATTTTGGTGTATCCTTATTTTTCTCATCCAAAGGGAACTCTTTTGAATCCTTCCTTCCTTAAATCTCTGATTTAATTAAGCGATTAAAAAGTTGGTCTATGATAGTGCATGTCCCACATTTAATTTCGTTGCTTGGTGCCATAGAAAGTCTTGAGCAGACCAGCAAGATCTCAGAGGGGCCACATCCCTGATGCTCTCGGGGTCCCTCAGGTGATGCCCGAACTGAGGAGGGGGAGGGGTGGCAGAATTGGAGCTTCAGTTGCCAAGCAGTAAGGTATTGAAAAATACCTTAAATACTATTTGAAAAAAGGCAGGTTGGCCCACAATGTGGATGTGTAATTTATAGCTTTGGTGGGAAATTTTAAACAACAGTTGACTTGGGTCCAAGTGCTGAGGCAACTTTTCTCTGTGGATACTGATGGCTCCTGGTTTATAGGACCAAGAGTTCTGCCCAAATGACAGATTTGAAAAACACAGGAAACCAGACCAGTTCTGACATTAGCCTGAGCCAAGAGATTTTGCTGCCTTGGGCTCTGCATGTTGGGAGGTGGGTGGGTTGGGTGGGGGAGCTGTGCCCTCATCCCTTGGAGTCCAGTTTGGTCTCTGCATCCTGTGGGGGAAGGGCAGAAAGAAGCTGGGCCCTCACACCTTGGAGTCCATTCCTGGCACCAGTTCGGGTCCTGAACTGTAAGTAGCTGTCCCTCAGCTTCCGTGACTTCCACCTCGCCCTCTTCATCCACTGCCCTCTGCTGTGTCTCTTCTGTTTTCTCCTCTCCTTCAGTCCTCCCTTGATTAAATCATTCTCTTTGGATTCATGTTGATACCTTAAAACTTAAGTGAGTAGGTTACCTCTTCCAGGGGTGCTTCCTTGTTCATCCCTATCAATGAGCATGAAAAGGAGATTCCGGTTTACACAAATCACCTTTTGGGTGTTGATTCCCCATGGGGGAGCTATGGAGAAGCGTTAAGTGACCAATGAAATACAGGAATGTGCCGGACAGGGACTGCAGAAATAGGCTGGCCACAGGCAGTGTCTCCCGAGGCCCCTTCGCCTTGTCTCACCTGGTGCATGAGATGGTTGGAATGGACTTTTAAAAATTGCCTGTGAATAGTCAAAGACTCCATCATTTCACCCGACGCCCCAGTTATGGCTCAGAGATTCACGCACACCGGCAAAGAAAACAAACCATATTGAAAGCTTGACTCTGGAATTTGAGAAAAACAAGACTAGTCTGTCAGATTTACCCAAAGTGGGGAATACATGTTGACAACCGTAACCAGCTCCCCCAATCCCTCGGCAAGGTTCTACTAAGTTACCCTTGACAGTGATATGTACATGTGTGGGTGTGTGTATTTGTGTTCCTGTGTGATTTTTCTTTAAAGATCTGGGTTCCAAGATGGATGATCTGTTACCCGCTGTGTTGGACTTATCTATGCCGGGAGTGTGCTGAGAGAAGCCAAAAAAAGAATCTGAAAACATAAGGAAGCTATAAAATGGGGAAATGTTTAGAAGCCAAAGTCCTGATTCCACTGTGAGATTTTCTGTTTGCTTTTTGTTCTGCGTGGGTGATGGTTCCTTATTTGGACCTTGAGGAAAGCTACTCCCTTAGCCAACATAGGAACGTTAAAAATTGGACACCCAAGAGTTTTCAAATTTAGCAAGAGGAAGGGTTAGGCAAAAGCTCCCAGTTCACAGGCATCTTCTATCCGCCCCCCCCCAATGACTCTGTGAAGGGACTTGGAAAGACACATACCCTCTTCCCTTGAAACCCTAAGGAACACTCTTCTGTTCTGACATTTTTCTGAAGTGCCTAGCTTGATCACCTTGCTTCAGCTAATAACAGGTCTGGGTAATAAAGTGACAGTAATACCTGATGATCCAAGGGTTCATGGGGAGATGCACGCATCTGTACGGGGTTTCATCACCTGCTTTCGTGAGGCGATGACCACTGCTGTAGGCATCTGTGACACGGACAGCTTTCTGAAAGACATCAGTCCTCCATAAATATACTTTTCTTATTGACAAGATGTCTTTTAAACCTAATAGTAATGGAAGAAGACCAATAAATGAAACATTTACTGCATAACTTGCCTTATTTTGGGGTGGTGTACAATTCCTTTCTAGCTGTCTCTAGAAGATTTTTTCAGCTTAATTTGCTCCCTAGAAATTTCGCTTGCTACAGTTATACGTCTATGACGTTTTATTGCCTGAAGCCAAGTCTGCATAAGAACTTTCTTAAGATATACTTATCCTAATGCCAAGCTACAGCAACTGGGCTGCTTTATGCTGAATTATTTGTGCTACCCTGATATACAGGGCAGAGACTTCCCAATAGTTATTGCCATAGGGTAGGTCTAAATGTTTCTGAGAAGGGGAAAAGAGGCAGGAAAAAGGTGAAAAAAGTTCCATCTAGGTTGATTTGTAGAAGTCTTTAGAATTAATAATTGGGTACGTATTTAACATATTAAAATGCCAGAGGTTTTCTTTTGTTTCCTCTTTTTAAAACGGCTTCAGTGACCCCACCCTGCCTTACAGAGCATCTTTGCCCACTCAAACCCATTGCTGTGTTCAAAAATGTCACAGATACCAAAGCACCTTCCGCTAAAACATGGGCACCTTAAAATGAGGCAGAGACTATGTCCCCCGGCATTGAGCAATCTCACAATTGCTTATGTCTGTTCAAGCGACAGAGCAGGCGAAATTTCAGGAGAGAAGGATGCTATTGTTTCCTCTTGAAATTTATCTCGGGGTGGGGGGACACACCTGCTTCTGGCCAGAAGCAATATGGGATGGGAGGAGGTAAAAGATCCAGGAGATTCCCAGGTCCATAGTGTGAAGATTTCAGGCGTGGTCCCCATGAGGAATCAACAGCAGCATCAGCCCCAATCTGTCTTGGGAAAGGAATAATCTATGTTGACCGAATCACTTGAGACTGGATTAGAATCAGCAACTCAGTCTCCTCCCTTGCAAAATCCTAAATGTTTCTGCATATTCCAAATTCCAGATTGGTATGAGTGGATTAGGTTTCCCAACAAAACACTCATTTGGATGGAGAAGGAGAAGAAGTTTCAATGAATGAGTTCCAGGATCTGAGTGAGTTAAGATCTCAGTATAGACAACAACATGCAGCACAAGGTTTAGCAACAAGAGATGTGTCCAGTGGACTGTCATGTCATCTTTAGCAAACACCAGTTCTTGGTGGCCGGAGGGCATGCTGTACATACCTAGAGCAAGAAGGGGAGCATTAATCATTATTATAGGTTCCAGGATGCTGAGAGCGAGAGGTTATAACCCCCAAATTCCATAAGAAATACGGGAGCGCCTCCCAGCACCCCCACCTATGGAGACGTGGTATTTCTCTTTGCCTGTGTCCCCACACACTGAATTTCTAACAACTTCACACACTGTTGGAAATCCTCCCGGTACTTTTTAAGGGTGGCCAAGGTTCCTGATGGTCTGTTGTCAGCACAGGGATGCAGTTTCCTTGTTCTCGTCCTGCAAAGGGCTCTGCTTCCAAAGAAACCCAAGTCTTAGGCCAGGAAGAACCTGAAGAGGCCTCCTGGGCCCCACCACTTCCCATTCTCCTTCCAATCAATGTGCTTTAGGGGCTGGAGGCCTCATAAGTGATGGCATCTATATGTCTGTGAGATCCTCCTGGCCCTGCCGGGCTCTGCCATCTACCCTAATGACAAAGGTGATGACTCTACCTGGAAGCCAGATGGAACATTTTCTATTTTTTTTTTTTTTTTT